TAATTGACTTCAGGTGTAAAAAGTTCATTGACTGTAACAAACTTTACATTTTCATTCTAAACGAGAGAATATTCGTCCTTTAAAATAATAAGTTAGAATAAATCCTTCGTAACCTCGTTGTTCGTAAGCGAGGGGCGGCGCCCTGACGGCTCTCTGCCTCCCCCTTCAGGCGTTCGAGGACATCTACATCGAGCAGAGGAAGGTGGTGAAGGTGGTGCTGGAGTACTCAGACAAGATCTTCACCTACATCTTCATCCTGGAGATGTTGCTCAAGTGGCTCGCGTACGGCTTCAAGAAATACTTCACCAACTACTGGTGCTGGCTCGACTTCCTGATCGTCGACGTGAGTTCCTCAGTTTTATTTATCCATCGTTGATTGGTTCGTTTGTCGTTGGAGTGTGAACACACACGTTCACCATCATCTTCATTTGTAACATTTCATTTTCATATCATTTCATTATTTGCAAATTATGACATCAGGCGTGTCCCTGCGAGGACACGGTCTGCGTCCTACCGAGGACATGTCCTGCGTCCTACCGAGGACACGGTCTGCGTCCTACCGAGGACACGGTCTGCGTCCTACCGAGGACACGGTCTGCACAGCCCATGAAGGAGGCAGTCTGTGTAGACTGTGAATCATTATGTCCAACATTCATAAGATCCCTGACTGAAAATCATTTCTCATCTGTATTCTTACTGATTCATTCTTCTCCCAATGTATTTGTTAGAAAAGAGAAACCCAAAGTGACAAGAGCAGAAGAAGTGAAAAGAACGAGGGAGAGAGATATCAAAAGGAGAGAGAGGGAGGGACAAAAACGGGCGAGAGACTCAGAAAAAGAGGAAGACGGAGAGCGAGAGAGAGAAAAGTCCAAACAGCCTCAAGCCAAACAATCAGCAGCAGCTTTTTAACCCACACACACACACACACACACACACACACACACACACACACACACACACACACACGCACACGTGTGATGTTTTTATGCGACATGTGGGCTGAAGAGCGAGACGTGTTGAGTCACAGGAAACAGAAAGGACACTTCTCTAAAACCTGCGTGAATCAGTTTTCAGCCACTAGGGGGCAGAACATCATCCGAACCAGCTGAGGGGTTGTTTCCACAGTTTCTCTCTCGTGTTGAAAGACGTCAGGCTTTTGTTTTTGTGTCGAGTGTCTGACGACAGCTTCAGGAACCACGGAGTAGAACCGCACGAGCAGTTTGTCGGTTTTATCTTCAGTCCCGTGGTTGTGTTTGTTTCTGACGTTCTGAAATGACCTGGATGATGATGTCACAGTGTAACGCCCTGTAGATTTCAGTGATGGGTCACCTGGCTCAGTTCGTCTCCGTGGACCAGATCACCACCATGCGGGTGCTGAGGACTCTGAGGGCTCTCCGTCCTCTCCGGGCCGCCGCTCGCTTCGCTGGTATCAGGGTAAGAACCGGCTCAGCCCGGCTGGACCAGGAAACTAAACGCTAGAGAAACTAGAGGCTTTCACAATAAAACCAACATAAAACAAGTTTGTAAAACATCTAAAATCATTTCTCCACCGATGAAGCAGCTGAAACTTTAATAGTTTATCACCAAGTTGTTCATTATTTCATATTTTAATGAGAAATAAAAGCAGAAGAATTTACAGGTGAAAAATTAGATTTTCAAATTATTATATTTTTAAAACAGCCACATAAAAGAGTCAATAAATATATAATCTGAATAAACAAAATGTTCTGTGTTCTCGTCGCCCTCGTCCAGAAATAAAAGTTTAATAAATCGCTCCGAGGTTTTTCCGTCTCGCTCGTGAACAGTAGCGACGGTTTTCTTCTCCTCAGTGTTCGACAGGATTAAACCTGGTCTGGATTCTGAAGATAAACTCGATTAACTTCATTTCTCTTGTTTCCTCAGGAATCAGCTGATTGTTAAACTAACGCGGTCTCTTCGTCCTCAGATATCCAGAGCTACGATTGGCCGCTCCAGGATCAGTCTCCTCCCCTTCTCTCTTCGTCTTTAGTTTAACGTTCCTGCTTCTCTCTTCTGTTTCCCCGCCTCTTCCTGTCCTCTCTCGCTCCTCCAGGTCTCATTGGTCAGTTTGGTGGCCAACACGTTGGGTTATTCAGACTTTGCAGCCATCAAGTCCCTGCGGACGCTCCGCGCCCTGCGGCCCCTCAGAGCCCTCTCCAGATTTGAAGGCATGAGGGTAAGAGTCAGTATTAATGGACCAAACACACCTGGGCGTCGCTATTCACAATCAGTCAGAGAAAAAAAGGCAGGAATCTGTTCTTCTACTGTTCTTATGTTTTTAGGCCGTCACGTTGTTGTGAACACGATATCTCAAGAACGATTTGAGGGGATTTCTTCAAATTCTGTTCAAACATTCATTTTGACTCGAGGATGAACTGAGTAGAATTTGGTTGTTTTAGGATCAACGACCTTTGTAAGAAATGAACTTTGAATCACTCTCGATCTAAATCTTTACGCCCAGGAGTGTTTGAAATAAGAGTCTTTTTTTACTCACCTTCTCTCCCTCTCTCTCTCTCCAGTATTTCCTGCTCTCTGATTGGTTCGTTTCTTATTGAACGCTGACGTTCTGTGAATCAGTATTTGAACGTCCCTTAATATCTGTGACCCATCGATCAGTATTAGTGAGAGAGTCAGAGCGAACGCGTTGCTCTTTAACCCAAAGGATTCATCTCCTCCAGATGTGATAGGACACAAATCTAGAAAGGACACAGCTTCAGTTTCTCACTCAAACTAATCTCCAGAAGAATATTTCAGTGACCAGAGAAATAACAAACCTTTTCCCCTTTGAGAGTTTTTTAAATACAAAAGCTGGTTTTCCTAATTCTTGAATTCAAATGTTTAAAATCATATCTGATGAAATGAGTGAATTCAAACGAGCAGCGTTTTGTAACGAAGCTCTGACGCCGACTCTGGTTCACAGGAAGTTCACGACCTGCTCGAGATGCTGGGGAAATAAACACCAGAGCTTTCAATCTCCCGTGATCCTCTCCTCCTTTCTTTGTCTGGATAATACGATTAGCTCTCGTGTCAATTTACAAATGCTCCACACTCTGCACCACGCTGCTCGCTCAGCATGGGATTCTGGGTAGGAGAAGTGCAGTGTGGGTACAGCGAGGAGGCTGAATCAGCGCTCGCTCTCTGTGTGTGAACACCAGCACGAAGACGAGAGCTGGTTCTCCTCCTCCTGCAGAAACAGATGTTCAGTTCATCGTGCTGCCTTCGCTGACCTCAGCCAATCAAAGCTCGCTGGAAACTCGTGATATCAGTCCAAATCAAACTTTATTTCTAAAGTGCTTAACAAAATACATGAGAGTAAAACAGACAACACTACTAAAATAAAAAACAAAGAGCAATAATCATGTACACACAACATGTCTACACAACATGTCTACACAACATGTCTACACAACATGTCTACACAACATGTCTACACAACACGACTACATAACATGACTACACAACATGTCTACACAACATGTCTACACAACATGTCTACACAACATGTCCACAGTTCATGTCTGAAAACAGCTTCTGTGTTAAATCTGACCAGTCGCCAAAATTCCAGTTTTTCCTCATGTAAGGAAAGTGTGTATTTAAGTACTTGTTGTGTATTTAAGTACTTGTTGTGTATTTAAGTACTTGTTGTGTATTTAAGTACTTGTTGTGTGTTTGTGTGTGTCTGTGTGTTTGCGTCACCCTGCCTCTCTCGTCCCTCCAGGTGGTGGTCAACGCTCTGATCGGAGCGATTCCCTCCATCATGAACGTGCTGCTGGTCTGCCTCATCTTCTGGCTCATCTTCAGCATCATGGGCGTGAACCTGTTCGCCGGCAAGTTCGGCCGCTGCGTCAACCGCACCGGTCACATCTACGACGCCTCCTTCATCAACAACAAGTCGGAGTGCGAGGCGCTCAACAACACCTCGCACTTCTACTGGAGCAAGGTCAAGGTCAACTTCGACAACGTGGGCGCCGGATACCTGGCTCTGCTTCAAGTGGTGAGTTAACGCTTCGGGTTCAGAGTTTTCTTCTTCTTCACTGGATATTTTTCCTGCGTTTGTTTGGCTCATTCATTTTTTAAATGCCGTCCTGTGTTCATGTACAACGAGAGAGTTCTGACTTTACTCTTGTATATTTTCTCCTCGTAGTGAGGACGTATGTAAAAACCCTCTGAAAGTAAACGTGTGAAACCACAACACGAACCAAACGTCGTGTGAATAAAAGGAGGAAAACTCTTCTGCTGCTCGACGACTTCATATCAAATTAAAACCTCCACAAACTGAAGGAGCTTTGACTTCCCCTCTCTCCCTCGCTCCCCTCATCTCATCTTTTCCTCCGTGTCGTCCATTTGCGTCTTCGCCTTAATTTTCCTCCCACACCTGTTCTTCTTCATCACTCTCACTTTTGACTCTTCCACTCGTTCGCTCTGCCTCCCTCTCGGCTTTTAAGTCTTTAACGTCTCTCTCGCTGTTTGTCCTCTTCTTTCTCTCTCTCTCTCTCTCTCTCTCTCTCCTTCTCTCTCTGCTCTTTAATTATTTTTCAATTTCACTGATGTTCTTATGAAACAGTTTAAAACAAGTCGTACGAAGACAAAAGCAGAAACAGAACAGAGTCAAATTTTTATATGAATCAAAAAATTAAACCTTAAACAATTGTGCAGCTGATGAGATTCTACTTTAACGATGATACATTTCTCCAGAAAAATACATGAAAAGTATTTCATTCACACGACTTCACACATTTTTGCACATTTATTGAAAAGGAAAAAACTTTTCTGTGACATTTGAAATGAAGCTCTGTTGTAGTTCTCAGTGGATTCCACCAAAAATTATATTTCTAAAACTGCATTTTAAGCCTTTTATTTCACATAAAGTTCATTTTAAATAAAGATATAACACATTTCTCTCTCTCATCACTTTCCTCTACATTTAGGCTGAATCTTCTTTCTCTCCATCCTTCCGTTCTGCCTTTCAATCTGTTTTCATGTCATTTATTTTTTCGACCTCTTTCCATCCCTCACTCTCCGTCTCTCCAACATCCGTTATCAAACACAACATGAACAAAGCCAATTACAGCCACTGCAACTTTCCTCTACCGCCTCCTCCTCTCCATCTCTCCATCACCTCGATCTCCTCCGTTACAAGCCCTCGTTTCCATCCTCCCTCTTCTCTCTCTCTCTCTCCCTCTGTCTCAAATGTGTTCTCTCTTTCCTTTTCTCGCTCTCTGTCGCCCACCACAGGAGTCCTGAGAGCCTCCAATCAATCAGCGTCTGAGAGGCTTTTATTTTTAGAGCAACTCCAGCCAAGTGGGAGGGAAATGGAAAGATGGAGACAGAGAGAGAGAGAGAGAGAGGGGGGTAAAACTATAAGAGGAGTAAGTCAACTAAGATTCAAACAGCAGAGAGATGGAGGGATGAGGGACGGGTGGAGGAAAGGTGAGGAGGTGGAGAAAACATCATGGAGATCTGTAAAAGAAAAAGGGAGAGAGTGAGAAAAGAGGGATGGAGGGGGGTTATAGAGAAAGACAGGAGGAAGACAAGAGAGAGGGATGCAGAGTGGAGAGGAGGACGACGAGAAGGGAGGATCTGATGTGGAAGAAAAACCTCAGTCTTCCAGAGTCGTTCAAACAAGAAGTAAAAAAAAGTCCGTCCCCCACTTCAGCTGCTGAGAGGAGTTATCGCAGAGCGGTCACCATGGCAACCGGTCGCTCAGCACCGCTCTGTGTTAGACTGGTCGGCGTGGAAATGGTTGACGGGGGCAACCCTTCCATTAGCATCTGGAAACAGCTCCACGCTGCAAAAAATGATGCAGAGAGACAGAAAGTTTCCTCCGTCGGTTCTGAATTATTCTTTTTATCTTGAAAACAGATTCTGGAGCAGAAGAATCTAGAATCTGTCGGCATCAGCTTCTCGAACACATCGAATCATTTACAACTTCTGATGAATCACTCACATGTCACCTCGTCAGGCGTTAGAGTAGAATGCTAGAATTCAACAAATCTAGAAACCAAATGTTTGAAATGTTTCCTCCGACTGAAGTTGGTATATTTTACGATTTGTTTAACAGATTTGATTTTTTAACATTGTTAATACAGTCGTGTATTTTCAGTATTTCACTGCTGGAGTTTTAAACGTGACGTCACTGCTTTAATATTTTTATTCTTTTTCTTTTTGACGAACGGATCAGTTCATGGATAAATAGAATCAATCAGTTTTTATGAGTCGATCATTCTGTTTTCACATCCGTTTAAAAAATCCCCGGTGGAGCTCGTCACCTTTTACAGTGTGGCCCCTCTCGCTCACTTCCGACAGACCATAATAACAACAGGTGGAAACCCATGGCAACAAGCTGATTTCAGATCAGAGTGACAGACGCCAAACTATTCTGCTCTCTCTCTCTAACTCGATCTCTCTCTCCTTCTTTCTCTCTCTGTCTCTCTCTCTGTCTCTCTCTCTCTCTCCCCCTCTCTTTCTGTCTCTCTCTCTCTCTGTCTCTCTCTCTCTCTCCCCCTCTCTTTCTCTCTCTCTCTCTCTCTTCCCTTCATCTCATGTCCCCTCCCTGCTGAGGAAGGAAGTCCTTAAAAGGACGTGTTGAACTTTCATTGAGGAAACACCGTGGCGTTTCCATGGAGAACGTCTGCACATGGTCTTTATTGACACTATTCTCCCTTCGGCAGAATAAGAATGAGAAAAGAACGTTACTGAACATTTCTTTCTTGTCCTCCTGACAAACATCACTTCACATGTTCTCAGCAGTAAATTTGTTTTTCTGTTTCTTCCAGGCGACGTTCAAAGGCTGGATGGACATCATGTACGCAGCCGTGGATTCCAGGGCCGTGAGTTCATTTGCATTGTTTAACCACCGGATGACGTAAGATTCCACACGAGGTTAAAAGTAAAACAGCAAAGACGTGAGATGAACCGAAGAGAGTTTTCAGTTTGGACTCAAACTAGAACTGAAATGAAGCGTTCAGACGATCCGAGGTCGTTAAAGAGAAGAAGAATTACTTTTATTGTCACGTTAACACTTTTTACATGCATACATGAAATTGTTCTCCGCATTTAACCCAGTTGGCACCTGTTTAAACACGCATAGAAACACACATAGATATACATATCACAGATGCCATGTACACACACATACTGGAGCGGTGGGCTGCTGTTGCCAAGCGCCCGGGAAGCAGATGTTGGGGGGGGCGGTGCCTTGCTCAAGGGCACCTCGGTCGTGGCGAGCGGGAGCGGGGATTGAACTGCCAACCTTCCGGTTATTGGACGACCTGCTCTACCGCTGAAAAAAATTCAGTTTTTCTTTTTTTTTCTTGTTTTTTGGACGAATGTTTTTTTTTCAGTTTTTCGGACACAATTTTTTTTCTGAGTTCAGAGCATTTGAAACAATAGACGCATTCATTCCTTTATTGAGAGATTTAGTTTAATCAAGTTGTACTCTGATCTGGTTTAAGATCGTCCTGTCTTTAAGTCATGTCGATGTATTATCATTAGTTTGTCGACTCTGAGGACCTTTCCCATTCGGATCTGCTGAGATGGGGACATGTATGTGCAGGCAGGAGTCACCATAGGTCCATGGGAGTCACTTGCCAGTTGGAGGTTCATGCGGGAGTTCGTTATTCTGAAAACAGAAAAAAATTAGTTTGTCTGAAAAACAGTAAAGAAATGTGTCCGTAAAAAATTTTGTCTGAAAAACAGAAAAAATTTGTCCGTAAAAAATTGTCTGAAACAAATTTGTATGAAGAACAGAAAATAAATTACTCCAGAAAAAAATTTGTACGAAAAACATAAAAAAAATAATGTTTGTCTGAAATCCAGAAGAAAATTTGTCTGAAAAACAGAAAAAATTTGTCCGTAAAAAATTGTCTGAAACAAATTTGTATGAAGAACAGAAAATAAATTACTCCAGAAAAAAATTTGTACGAAAAACATAAAAAAAATAATGTTTGTCTGAAAAACAGAAGAAAAGAAATTTGTCAGAAAAACAGAAGAAAAATTTGTCCCAAAAATAGAAAAAAATATTACTCCGGAAAACAGTTAAAAATTTGTCCGAAAAAAAATAGGCTGAAAAACTGAAAATTAATTACTCCAGAAAAAAACAAAAATTCGTACGATAAACTGAAAGTAAAATTTTCTCTGAAAAACAGAAGAAAATAAATTATTTCGAAAAACTGAGAAAAGACAGTGTTGTCTGAAAAACTGGAAAAAAAATTGTCTGAAAAACATGAAAAAAATAATTTTTGTCCAGAAAAACAGAAAAAAGTTACTTAAAAAAACACAAACAAAATTGTCTGAAAAACAAAAAGAAATTCGTCAGAATAACAGCGAAACAAAATGAGTCTGGAAAACAGAAAAATTTTTGTCTGATAACAGTAAAAATAATGATTCCAAAAAAAAAAATTACTTCGAAAAACAGAAAAAAGAAAATTAGTCTCTCGAAAAACAGAAAAAAATGAGTTTGGAAAACAAAAAAAAATAACTCCAGAAAAAAGGAAAGTGTTGTCTGAAAAAACTCGAAAAAAAATGTGTCTGAAAAACAGAAAATAAATGTGTCTGATTACAGTAAAAAAAAAAGATTCCTAAAAAAGAAAAAATTACTTCGAAAAACAGAAAAAACTAAAATTGATTAACAGACAAAATTACTCCAGAAAACAGAAAATAGAAATTTGTCAGAAAAACTGAAAAAAAAATTGTCAGAAAAATTTTTTTCTGAAAAATTGAAAAAATTTGTCTGAAATAAATTTGTCTGAACAGAAAATAAATTACTCCAGAAAACAGAAAAAAATTAATTACTTCGAAAAACTGAAAAAAATAATGTTTGTCTGAAAAACAGGAAAACTAAAATTGATAAACAGAATAAAATACTCTGGAAAACAGAAAATTATCCAGAAAAACTGAAAAGAAATTTGTCCGAAAGACTGAAAAAAAAATTGTCAGAAAAAAATTAGTCTGAAAAACAGGAAAAAAATTAATTTTGTCTGAAAAACAGAAGAAAAAAAAGTGAAAAAAAATCTGTCAGAAAAATGTTTGTGTGAGCAGGAAAAATTTTTTTGTCTGATTAACAGTAAAACAAAATTAGTCTGTCCACAAAAAAAAATTACTTCGAAAAACAGAAAAAAGAAATTTGTCCGAAAAAGTGAAAAAAAATCTGTCTGAAGATCAGAAAATAAATTACTCCAGAAAACA